GGAAAAGTAGCAAAATATTAGAGAAATCATCAGAACGACACTAGTGCCGTTTAACGACACTTGTGACGTTCTGTCAATAAACAAGAATATAAGCAGTTACGATCTTATAACCGATAAGATAAACTCATTTAAGTTGCAGGATGGACATATCGTTTACAACATTCGACAGATATGGTCATTACTTAATCAACATGAAAAAATAGAATATCACAAGTGCCGTTACAACACCCGTTGTGTTTTATTATAACAAAAATACAGTATAACTGTCGTTTTGGTTTCATCGAATCTAAGACAATGACAAAATCAATCGTTCCAAACATTATAAATAGTTTGCTATTTTAAAATGATAAAAGTAATACATCATAACATAACACCACCATCATTTTTCAATATTACAAAATGAGTACATAGTAACACTACAAAAGCTGCATATATACCGTATTGTCTTTATCGTTCATATCTCTCGCTAAATGGTACAAGATTTGTACAAGTGTTACGGTTATGCCCAATTTTCAAACACCTACTACAGTTATGAAAATAGTTATCATATTTAAATTATCAAAATAACCACATTGTATTATAAAGAATAGACGATCATAATAGATAATGTTTGTATTGTCATTTTACATGGAAAACAACTGTAGTGTCGTTTCACACTACGTAAAACGGCTGGATGACGTTCTTTACTACAGATCGTCAAATAGTTGTGGAGAGTACATAAATACACCAACTGCAAAAAAAAAAATCAGCTAAAATATCATTTCATACTATATTCAACACTAAAAGGATCGATGTACATGAGATTTCCAAAAATACCTTTCTTTTTTCTTCAAATATAATAGATATTTCAATGTAGATAATATAGAAACCAAAATTCTTGTTCAAATGCTCAAAATGTTGGAGAAGATATGTGAGGAATATAATGAATAACAAGATTTTAGGGTATCAAGCACAAACAGAGAGCACGTTGATACGATTTGAGATGAATTGAGAAATTTGATTGGATTAAAAGGGTGTTTAGGTCTTTTCCATGATAGAGATAGTTTAGACATTTCATAATGTTTATTTATTGTATTTTTTAATTGAGGTCATTTCACCTATAAACATTGAGAAAAGACTTTTTATTTAACTATATTGTTTGACTATCACTTTCAACAAACTATCCCATTTATAATTGTGGTTCACAATTTGTCTTTGTGCCTGTAACATTATGTGATTTATAATTATGTATTCACGTTTATAATTATGTATTTTTCCATTGTTGTTGTTGTTATTATTATTGACCATTTGGGATTTAAGACTTGAACCCTGCTTGGTGTATATAGATTTTTTACCAGGGATTTTACATATATGCATTTGGCCGATTCTCATTGGCAGTTGCCAAAAAAAATAAAAAATGACATTTTAGAATTCCCATTTTTGCCCTGTAAACTGTCCCTGACAATTTAGCATGTACAAGGGGCAAAATCCAACTGTCCCTGGCAATTTAGCATGTACAAGTGGCAAAATCCTTAAGACTTGTTAATCCAGGGCAACGAGTCTCCCTTCAGTAAAATTTATAAATAATTTATAGACAGTCAAATTTATTCAATGGACTTACATTCTATTTTTATAAATTCTTCCCAATACAGAGGCTTCAGTTTTGTATACATCATAAGGCTTTCTTGGATTTCTTGAATAAAACAAGAGTTTTTCTTTCAATTTCAATCCGTTCTTGAAGTTCTCAAAATGATTATTGTTTGAGATTATTTTTGTTCAAGCATTTGTTTACACCAATTTCTAACAAGTCAAAAGTTAAAGACTAAAGAGAGTATGAAAATAAACACCATCTGTACCATCCTTTTTCACAACCATGACATAAGATGCTTTTAGTTTTGCATTTTTATGAAATTGTAATATGATGGAAATGATTTGCAGACGGGTAATGTTATTTATTATTAGCATAAATCATAATCGATTTAGGTAGTAGTATGCTTTTGATTCATTGTCTAATAAAGTAAAATATGTATTCTATTAGACAATGAATTCAATGATTCACTGTCACCTACACTGGTGATTATCTATTCATTATTCTTTGCAGGTTATTGAAGCAAAATACTTGCAGCAATTGTGAACAAGAAAAAGTTGAAAACATGTATTTATTAATATAATGGATCTCTGAAATGGAGTTGGCCAGGAAAAAAATTACAATCATGTTATATCTACATTTTACTTGACATTCTAACATATGGTATTCATCATCTCCATTGATTTTCACAACAATCTTGCACATTACTTGACAGATTTTGACACATGGAGGGATGTCAAAGAAAATGTCAATAAGGAATATACATATTTTAATTCTAAAATTTTCCAGTTTGAGTCCTATTATTTGAAATTTTAATGGCTAGAATAGTTTTTTTTTTTTTGAAAACGTGTGGTTAAAAAGATTTTTTTTTTTTGAAATTGCGTATAATATTATTTTATTAAAAACTGCGTGATTGATAAAAAAAGAGAGAAATAAATTATAATTTTAATGGGGTCAAATAGGAATAAACATACACGATCAATTAACCAATTTCATAAAATAAACTTTCTTTGACCAATTCATTGTCACTCCAAAGCATTTTAAAATTTAACCCTTATTTGAGCTCCATTTTATAATTTTTTTTTTCAAAATTCAATATAACTTCATTGACTGATAAAACAAGGTGAGTGATTGACTCAGTGCATGGTAAATTTTAATGATCATTTGAAAATATTTTAAAAATTCATTTTTTAATGAAATATGGTGAGTGAACGACGCGGTGCTATATTTTAAAGTTTAATAATCTTTCAGAAGCATTTTAGAATTAAACTCCTTGTACAATGAATTTGCACAATGATTTTGACAATGTGTGAGGTGTATATATCATTGTCATTGAATTCAAAAACAATCTTTCAAATCAATGGACATAATGTCTGCCAACTCACACATTGTCCAACTTATTGTCAAATTCATTGTACAAGTAGCATAATTCAACATTTTAAGTTGAATGAATCTACTTGTACAATGATGTTTGACAATGTTTGTTGACAATGTTAGATGTGGTAAAATTTGGACAATTGATTTAAAAACAATTTTTGAATTTTTTTGGAATGTGTGAATGTGATAGTACAAAGTCATGATTGTCAACAAATATTGTCAATTATCATTGTACATGTATCATGATTGTTTTAAATTTCAATTAAAGCGTGACATAGGTATTAACGAAACATTTAAGGTGTGTTTGAGCTACACTATTTTGGAAAAATGTATTGATGAAGAATGTGTGGTTGAAAAAAAAAAGAAAAAATTATTGATATGATGAAAAATATTATTTTATTAAAGAACGTGTAGTTAAAAATAAGTAAAAGGACGAGAATGAGAATTTCCATGTTGCTTAAAACGGCTGCGTAACTCTCAGTTTTTCACTTTTAACTCTAAAGATAGCCGTTCAAAAAAATAAATTAAAAAAAATAAAAAATAAAAAAATAAAAGAAGAATCCTTTTCTTATGAACATCCCACTTCAAACCTTAATTCGATCTCGCTGTAAATGCCGGAGTTGCGGAAGCCCGTCAGGTTCAATTCTGATAATCCATTTTCTTAGATTTTGCGCCTAAAATAGTGAGTTATTTTCAGTTCGAGATGATTTAAAGTTTCAGCGTTTTTTCTGTTTTAACAAAATGTCTACTGAATCTCGTACATCGTTTATTGTCTGCTCTTTTACAGACTAAAAACTTACTGAAAATTTTGTCCAGTGCCATTTTCTATATATTATTTTTTAGATTAAATTGATGTTGAAAACTGTTGCATATTTCGCTGAAACTTTTGGCTCAATTAGCATGATTATTGAACTTGGAAATACCTATTCTTTCTTGTCAAGATGGAAGTTTTGTTATGTGTACAAGTAGGTATGCAACTGTGTATTTTAGTATTTAATTTGAATGTGTAAAGAAATGTCTTTGTTAAAGGTTAAACAATATCTGATGAGAAAGTAGGTATGTGATTTTGACATTCTTAGCAAAGTGTATACATTAATAGCATGATTCATATTCTGAATGGGAATTTCCATAGATTAAGGAAGAAAATTAACTTAAGATTTCTATTGATGCACTATTGAACACTAGTGTGTACCAAACAGGACTCCAAACACGTGTATAAAATTCACACTGTAATTTGAATTTCAAGTTGGCACCATAGGGCCCTAGCCGTAGTGTCAAAGGCTGACACTGGAACTATGACATTCAAATCTTAATTGTGGGTGTTTTTCGTATTTGTTGGTTAGTTATTTACCCCAATATTTTCGAATATATAATTTTAAATTTCTTATCGTGCAAATAATCTTGTTCTTTGTAATGGATATCAAATATGAGTGAATTGTAACTTTCTGGTTGACTCTACTCAGAACACCTACATGCTTATTTTTAAGAGGTTCTTTTGAAATTTGGTTCTTCAATAATGTATTTCTGTATTGCAGGTGAGAGACCACGGACACAATTGTACTGAAGAAATCATATGTTTTTTGTGAAACTCAGTAGGATCTAGGATGGCTGTTTATTTGTCGATGCAAATTTTGATTGCCTTGTGTAAGCGAAAGGAAAGGTCCCCTCCATTGAAATTTCCTTTTCTTCCCTTCCATTTGTAGAGCAATTCCTCCATCGTGTGATTGGTGTTCCTTCTCTCAAAGTTTGATAAAATGCATAGAGATTATTTATGTAATAGAATGAAGTCTTGAATGTTGAAAATTGCAAAGCTGTATTCCTCATTCTATTTTTTTTTCCCTTTCCTGATTTATAGGCTTGATAATATTGTACACTTTACCCTTTTTATCCTTCTGATTTGTTGACAAGATAATCTTGTATCCTTTCCTGTTTTCAGGGTACATTAGGTTCTTGTCAGAGTAATTTCTTCAGTTCAGCTTCAGCGACATCATTCACACGATCTTTTAGAGCTCCAAACATATTTACTAAGCAGAGATCCTATTGTGAGTATTCAGTTATGAGCAAAAATTCAGTCGCATGCCATTCTATTGGCAACACCAATACTCAGCCACAATTGCATAGGACTTACCAAGTTGTGGTTGCTGCAACTCGTGATATGGGCATTGGGAAAGATGGCAAGTTACCGTGGAAATTGCCTTCAGATCTTAAGTTTTTCAAGGAGATAACAATGACTACTTCAGATCCGGAGAAAAAGAATGCCGTTATAATGGGGAGGAAAACTTGGGAAAGCATTCCCCCTCAATTTCGACCTTTGCCAGGTCGCCTCAATGTAATACTCACTCGTTCTGGGAGTTCTGATATTGCTACTGCAGATAATGTCATCATATGTGGTAGTATTCCATCTGCTCTAAAATTGTTATCAGAACCCCCATACAATATTTTGATACAGAAGGTTTTCATGATAGGAGGTGGCCAGATATTAGGGTATGTTTATCTTTTATCCAAGGAAATTTGTTTGTTGCTTTGTAGTTATATGTGGTGCAGAAGATAACATATCGATGATTATGGTTACAGGGAAGCACTTAATGCTCCGGAATGTGATGCTGTCCACATGACTGAAATAGAGAGTCATATGGAATGTGACACTTTTATTCCTCCAGTTGATCTGTCGGTCTATCAGCCATGGTACATGTCGTCGCCCGTGGTGGAGAACAAAATCCGATATTTTTTTGTGACTTTTGTACGTTTGAAGACTTCCACTATGGGACCTACCAATTCCAGCCTTGAGGTGAGTTATACGGGTAGTATTTCAGACTACAAGAAGCTCAAAGTCTCGAATTTCACTTTCCTGCCGAAGATGATATTTGAGAAGCACGAGGAGTTTCTCTATTTGAAATTGGTTCAAGATATTATTTCAAATGGCAATGACAAAGGTGACCGGACAGGTGCTGGTACTCTTTCAAAATTTGGGTGCCAGGTCAATAATAAACTTTAAAGGCATTGGTGTTATGAGTTCATGAATTCATGGCTAAAGTTTGAGGATGATTGATATCTCACTTCTAATGCTTGTACTATTCATTTCCCAGATGCGCTTTAATCTACGGAAATCTTTTCCACTTCTCACTACTAAGGTATTGATTCTTTTTTAGAATTTATGTTGTAAGGTAATCATTGTGTTATTATGGATATCTCCTATTCCATTTCAAAAGTAGGTCTATGCATTTTCCATTTTGCGATACTGGTGAAACATCTAGCATCATTCGTGGTATATTTACTACCTAAAAACTCCAAAGTCCCTTCTCCATTCTCTGTAAGATATCAATCAGTTTTTGAAACCAACATTATCACTGTGTACGATACCCTCACGGTGTTCTCGTTGAACAGAGTGTTTTTTGGCGAGGAGTTGTTGAAGAGCTTTTGTGGTTTATTAGTGGATCTACCAATGCTAAGGTGATTATCATCCTTTTTTTGTTTCCTCACTGTATATATGGCACCCACTTAAAATACAGTTTGTAATGGTGAACTGTGCTTTTGAGTTTCCATATTTTCATTATGAAAGTTCAAAGATTGTATTGTACTATTGTATATCATATAAGGCATTTCTGCTAAGGTCTCTTCCTTAGTTGGGGGAAGAATCTGCATGAATTGGATTTTTTGAGGCGTTCAAATGCTCAANCACTAGATATATCTCTAGGCACACAACCGCATAAAAATGAATTGGTTCTTGTTGTCGTTTTTTATATACTGCAAGTGTTCGGATCATAACAAGTAATATAGTTGATTAAGACATATATTTATAGAACAAGATTCACACCATTCGTATCCAAGTTGGGATTTTTCCTACAATTAACACAACTTACACAAATTAAGTAGATAAGCGTTCACTTTATATATAATTAACTAAGAATAGAAGTCCGGATAAATGCATAAAAAAGCACTTATCACATAATAAAGGAGAAAATTAGCTAAAGATGCACTCAAACAATATTGCACATCTGAAATAGCCATTGAACTAAAGATCCTCTCCTAAACCAATAATGAAACCACCCTGTCCCACAGAGTGAGAAGGAAATGACATTCCTCTGAAATTTTAGGCTTTTTTTCTATCCAGATGCGCAATTGATGATCATCACTGGGTAAATATAATTCATAACTAATTTTTTTGGTTTAGTAAAAGAAAACATTAACAATAAAGGCATGAATGTACCAGGGGAGGACAAGAGTGTTAATTTTAATTATCAATGACAATAAAATGGAAAGAATTGGTAACCTCTGTGTTTTGGCATACAAAAAATGCTACTGCTGATGTGAATCAAATCATTATACTCTCACTTCTGAACTTTGTAACTCTTGGAATTACTTTTCCGTACTGTAATCCTTTTTGCTTAACATTTATCATGTTCTTATCTGTAAAATAAGCCTTTTTTTTCCCTTCTGTATTTACTTATTTCTTGGAAAGAAGGTTGATTATAAATAGGTTATGTCTGTTACAGGTTCTACAGGAAAAAGCCATTAATATATGGGATGGAAATGCATCCAGGGAATACCTTGACAGGCAATGTCTACTTTCAGGATTAGTTATCCTTTGTCAGTGTTATCTAATCTGACAAATGTATTTGATGGGGCTTTTCCAGTATAGGACTTACAGACAGGGAAGAGGGTGATTTAGGGCCAGTATATGGGTTTCAATGGAGGCACTTTGGTGCCAGGTTAACAGTAAAACACTTAAACATGATTTGAAGAAAGCTTTATATTTTAGTCGCACTTTTGAAACTAACTTTAAAAATTTGTGTTCTACAGCTACACCAACATGCATGCTGACTACACTGGCCAAGGATTTGATCAATTATTAGATGTCATAGACAAGATCAAGAATGAACCCAATGACAGGCGAATTATTCTCTCTGCTTGGAATCCTTCTGATCTCAAGTTGATGGCATTACCCCCTTGCCACATGTTTGCACAGGTTGCCTTGCCCTTGATCCTTAATGAAAAAGAAATTTGAAAAGGATTAAAGAAAAGAAGAAGGATAGCGATGTAGAAAATCAAGAGTTGCTTGTATCAAGCTGACCTATAACGGACTTATTCAAATTTATTACTCTGTTAATTTGATTAACATGTTATCTTGTTGTAGTTTTATGTAGCCAATGGCGAGCTATCGTGTCAGATGTATCAGCGCTCGGCTGATATGGGTCTTGGGGTGCCTTTTAACATCGCAACATATGCTCTATTGACATGCATGATTGCTCATGTTTGTGGTACGCACTCATTTAACGAGTGAAAAATGACATCTGGAAATTCGCGATGCTTTATAGCTCTCAATTTCAAGCCAGTGAGTGGCATTTTATGGAGATTCACTGATTAATGCTTCAATCCAATGCCCATCGACAGGTCTTGTTCCAGGTGATTTAATCCATATAATTGGAGATGCTCATGTTTATAAGACACATATCAGTCATCTACAGGAGCAACTTAAAAAAAATCCAAAGCCTTTCCCGGTAAGTATACCAGAATATATTTATTTTGTGGCATTGAATTCTGTCGTTACTTAGCATTTGGCAATGTTTTAAAAACTGACAATGCAAAGCCAATTCCTAACAATTACTTCGTCAATTGAGAGATTGTCATCATCATTTGAATACACGTTTTCATGTTATGACTTTTCTACTATGGATTTTGATATCCCTTTTCCAATTATGAACAGTTTTTGAAGATCAACCCGCAGACAAAGGACATCGATTCATTTGTGGCTGCTGATTTCGAACTTATAAATTATGAACCTCATCCAAAGCTAGAAATGAAGTTGGCAGTGTAAAATTTCAAGGACCGAAAGACAAATACTGTGGACAAAGGTAACTGCAGATCATTAAAATATGTTTTTCTGTATTTCTGTCGTTTCTGGGTTCAATTTTCCCTCATTAAGAATAAAGTGTGCTTTTTCAGTTTTCAAATTCTAGTAAATTAACTGTATCACACAGGACCTCAATTTTCTCATTGCTTGTACTATCCTCCAATTCATTAACTGGATGTGCACGGAAGGGACTTCTGATTGTTTTTAAAATTCTCAATATCACAAATGCATCCACATGAATCTGATAAATTCTTCTGCTAAAAAGACATAACAGAAACATGCAAATTTTTTTTATCTTCGAAGATTTCTTTCAGAAAAGGTGATTTTCATTGCTATTATTTTTCCAGGTTTGAGACACAGGAAATATAGTTGGGATTCTGCAGATAATGAGCACCTGTAGATGGTTAGTTGCGAATAAATGCTAATGAAAATTATTAGTCATGTACTATGGAACTATAGTTACCTTTGCAATGACATTTCTTCCTCTTTTTAAAATCCACCGGTCTTTTATGGTCTTGTCTGTCTCCATCTATTTTAGTGCTTTAAAGTGATGTTTCCAGAGAATACTTGCATAATCAGCACCTCTTTGAAGTTTCCCTATCACATTCTTGAACCCTTTTTTTTTTTTTTGTTAGGCAAAAATCTTTATATTTCTATGCTTCTATTTCATGATGTTAATCTGTAGTTTCTTTTCATTACACAGTGGTTCTAGTTGATTTGGCTATAAGATATTAATGTATTTTTATTGAAATGCCAAAGGTTGAAAACTTACGTTCTTTTCCTTCTGTTTCCATTGTGGCCTTGACAATTCCTTAGAGCAGCTATCTTTTCCTACACTGCAGAGGTCTACAGGTTGAATAACTGTAAACCTGTGTGTGCTTGGCTCTCTCTCTCTCTCTCATTATTATTATTTGCTTCTAAAATAGGAATTAGCGTTTAATCCACAAAAACTTTATCAACTATGTAGAAGAAATTATTTGACAAAGATAGAAAATTGGTAGGTAAACCAAAATTTCCATGGACAATTCGAACGTAAATGATTCCAGCACCAGCCTAAAGGTATTTACTAATTAGCGCTCAAAATTGTTAGAACACCTATGACATGTTTCATAAGGTGGATTAGAGAATACCAGACAGTATTAAGTAAGAAAATAAAGTTGAAAATGCTGTCTCGTACGGTTTAATATTGCGCATCAAACATATATCTACTCCGTTTTGTCAGTGCATTGCTGTTTTGCCTGCATTCACGTTCTGTTTTCCTTTTCCTTTTAAGTATTTGACAAGACATAATAATGCAGTATCTGCATCATCACTCTTCATGAGCTCTCCTGCTATTTCTGCTGGTGTTGCCTGAACTTTAGTCAATAACTCCTGGATGGTTGCGAATAGTGTGTGCTCCTCCGTTTTTAGATAATTAGATGCTAATATTCTGAAACCACTGAAGGTGCAGTAAGACATCTCTATGTGCACATCCATCCGACCTGGTCTCAATAAGGCTGGGTCTAACCGGTCCTTGTGGTTGGTCGTGAATATTATGATCCTCTCATCTCCACAGCTCGACCACAGGCCATCTATGAAGTTAAGTAGTCCAGAGAGAGTAATCTGTATATTTGTGAAACCATATGTTAACGCATGAGGAAATTGTATGGGATATACACTTGAGAGGGTTAAATAAAATAAGTTGAACAAGTCTGTTTCATCAAATTAGGTAACTGTTAACATTTCATCAAACAAAAAGCAAGCAAAAGACGAACCTTTTCATCCTCAGATACTCCATCACCAGCCTCCCTATTCTGCAACCCCACATTACAATCAACATCTTCTATCACAAGTATAGACCTATTTGCAGTGCCAATAAGCAGCCTTCTCAAATCTGAATTGCATTGCACTTCTTTTATGTCCAAATCATACACATCAAACTTGAGATAATTAGCAATGGTTGCCACCAGACTAGACTTCCCAGTACCCGGTGGCCCATAGAACAAGTACCCACGCTTCCAGGCCTTCCCAACTCTCCTGTTAAGGGTAAAATATAAAAACAATAACCAAAATATAAAAATTTGATACGACTACTCTTAATATGGTTGACATGGAATGCCAAGACTTGATACCTGTAGTAATCCTTCCTGCTTATGAACCGATCAAGATCGTCAATCAGCTCCTTCTTTGCATCAGGATCCATTGCCATTGATTCAAGCGTTGCGGGATGGTTCAAAATCACTGAACTCCAATAGTCTATGCCATTGTAATCAACTGTATGTAATCTTACTACCTTTTTCTCTTCTTTAATGTCCTTTGCTTTTCTCAATACATATGGCAAGTATACTTTCAATACATTGTCTTTGTGTTTCTTGTGAAAATTCAATTCGAAGTACCTGAATTCTGTTCTGGTACTGCCATTTTTGTCACTTTTAGTAGTCCCTTTGACCTGGGTGCTCTGTAAAATCCAACTGAATTTAATCCCTGCATGAAAATTGTCGATTTCAAGATTGGAGGGAGGGTGGATGTAAAGGGAAGAAATTTCACGTTGCTTAAAATGTAAAAATAGTAAAACGTACAACAACTTGGGCTAATGGGACGAATTGTAAAAACACCTGCATGGAAATCAATAATTTCTTGGTTTTTATCCACCGTCACTGTAAATTCTTCATCCTTTTCGGGTTTGTGGACTTTGATTCTTTGCGTTGTAGGAGAGATTTTGGTGCCTAAATAAAGACTGGCAGCTTCAAACATATGGTTTGAAGTGAGGCCTTCAAATTCTTGTATAACAACTGTGATTTGGGATGAAAAGCGTTTGCAGAAATTGAGGATACTGTTGTGGATTTGATCTGGTATAAGGTCATTGGCAATGGATTTGAAGAGAATTATTAAGGCAGTTGCAGAGGCAGTCGCTGATAGAACTTTGTTGGTTTCATATGAAAACACCATCTTTGTTTCTTTTTTCCTTTCTGATTTGATAGAATTTGTGGATTGTGGCGGGGTGTAGTAGTTGTAGGGCTAGATAATCAGGTTTCTTGCTGGGGAAGATTTGGTCTGAAATTCTGTGTTTCCTGGGTTTTGAATTTTCATTAGGGTCTAGAATACTCTGTTTTCTGGATTGTTTGTTGCACCACTTCATAAATATACATTATTTGAAAAGTATTTTTGATAAATAAACCATTCATTTTACAAATATTAAGTCCATTTAAAAACAAAATAAATTGTCTTCCCCCTCAAATATATATATATATATATATATATATTTTTTTTTATTTAT